AATATCCATTTGCAGAAATATTGAGAGGAAAGACTGTTCTTTTGATGTGCTTTGGAAGGCCTGGAATAAATAAGTCTCAGTGAAATGGTGTAGAATTCAAGTAAAAATAAATAAATAGGAGAGCATGATGGATATCCAAAGAATAAAATGATGTTTCTGATAGTGTTGATCGGCTGAGAAAAATAGATGGGCAGTATAATGTCTTGATTCAAGTAGAAGGTCAAAACCTGGTATGGAAAAAAGGAACCATTTGGGTAAGAGATCTTTGTAAAGACATCATTCTCTACTTCAATGAGGTAAAACAGCATGACTTGGCTCTCTCTTTCATAAAGATGTACTTTGCAACTATCTCTTATTTCTTCAGCTCCTTTTCCCTCTAATAACAGCTAACAAAAGGCCTAGCTCATCATCAGCATCAGGTGATCAGGACAACAGTCCATTGAAACCACAGCTCATGTCCTCTATAAAGATTCACAGACTTATAACTCCTTATCTGGCAAAATATTCAGGAAATTCTGATCTTCTTTATGTACAGCTGTTACATATGTACAGCTGTTAAATTCTGCTATACTGCCTGTAAAATTAGGGACACTTTGGCCACCCATCAGTGATATCACATTAATTGTAATACACTATTAAGTCTTATTCTATTTGAATATTCTAATTTTCATTCTGATCTGTGACCATAATAAAAGATTCAACTTATCATCAACATCCTCTTGGAATTCTTAGAAGAGACAGAATGGTTTATTTTGGGATTCTGTAGAAATCAATAGGATTTCAAAGTTCATGTACTTTTAAATTATGGGAAGCATCAAATTAAAACAGCTGTATATAGTCTAAGCAGAGTCATAGCCCATGACTTGGCATAGTGAGCATGTAAGCAGTGTCAATATCTAGTGAGGACTTCTGCATATAGTCTAGTGAGCTCTTTTGATTTGAAACACTGGTGTCCTTTGGTTGAGATGTGAATAGGACAAAGAATGAGAACGAAGAATTTTCTTACTGTTGAAACATTTTCAAAGCTTTTGAACTATGTGCAGGGTGTCATCAATATTAAAGCTAAGCAATCCATCCTCATTGAGGAGAAGGTCCTCAATTTTAGCTTTAGCTTCCTTTATCAATCCAAAGGAGCACAGCCAAACATGGCAATGCGTGGGATGGAAGATTCTATAGCTCTGGCTGTGGGTCAACTGCATGATGAGCCATATATAATTCCTGTTTGGCAAAGTGTCATGTTTCCGCATGAAAAACTATTTTTCTATTTACCTCTTATTCTCTGGCAGAGGAATTAGAAACGGGATATTTTCTTCCACAAATAAACATCATACTTGATAAATGGCAATACAGAGGGAGGGAAGCTGCTCCCCCCTGTAGAATTTGCATCCAAGATATCAAATTTAGGTGATATTGACAGTGGCAGTGTGATTATGATGCCTCCACTGTAACAAAAGTAGGAATAAGGATAGAGTATTGGCCTTTTTGAAGTTGGGTGTTGGAAAGACTCCTGAGAATACTATGAACGGCCAAGAAAGCAAACATGGATTCTCAAACAAATCAACTGGAGAGTTCCTATTTGAGGCACAAATTACCAGGCTTAAATTATGCTACCTCAGATATATTACACAAAGACCTAGTTCTTTGGAGGAGCTCCAACACCAGGAAAGGTGGAAAGAAAAAGGAGAGAATGACCACCAGCAAAGTGGATAGATTCATTTACAGTGCCAAAGATGCACTATTGGAAGACCTTAAAGAACAGGTTAGGGACAATATCAGGGAGAATATCTATATGGTTCCTAAGAATTGATCCCAACTTGATGGCACATAATGAGTCAATGAAATGGCAAATAATAACATTAATGAGATAGATGTCACCATGAGCTCTGCAAAATTTGGGTCTGAGTAGCCTCAGCAGGTAGAGGCCTGATTGACTAAAAAAAGGCAATTGTCTGATGTGAGATCTTAGGCAAGAATCCTAAGGGCAAGAGCAAGACAGTTGCAAAAACTATAATGAGATAAATCCAAAGCTTGATGCTGGAATGCAAGAAAAATATGGATGGGTATTATGTAATTGTTTGCCTTGCCATATAGGGCTGTTCCAGGGAATATGACTCCACTGTTTAGAACCATGGGAGATCTTGTTTTGAGAAGAACAATTTGGCCAAAGGGGAGTGTCTTCGTTTCAACTAGCCTTATGGATAAAGTTGAAGTAGATTTCAAGAGGCATATGCCAACAGTCTCCCCCCAAAAAATAAAGTTTCTTGTCTGAAGAGGGCTTAATGGAACAAAAAGAATTGGAAAGACCATAAGAAACAACTGAAATAATAAGAGTGGAAGAAAGTTGCTGTGGGGAGGAATTTGGGAATTAGGAGGCAATACAGGTAGTTCTCAACTTATGAACACAATTGAGCTCAAAATTTCTGTTGCTAATTAAGACATTTGTTAAATGGATTTTGCTCCATTTTATGACTTTTCTTGCCACAGTTGTCAAATGAATCACTGCAGTTGTTAAATTAATCTGGCTTTCCTATTGACTTTGTTTGTCAGGTCGCAAAAGGTGACCACAGGACCTTAGAACACAGAAACCATAATAAATATGAGTCAATTGCCAAACATCTGAATTTTGATCATGTGATCATAAGGATGCTCAATGGTTGTAATGGTAAAAATGGACATAAGTCACTTTTTCAGAGTCATTGTAACTTTGGACAGTCACTAAATGGACTATTGTAAGTTTAGGATTACTTGTAATACTTTATCCCTTTTCACCTGGAATTGGGCAGAGCTGGCTTTTTAGGAGGCTTTAATTTGTTGTGGAAATTTTTTTTGTGTTGATAATGGCAAAGATCTTGAGGATCATCTGTATGCAGTAGAGATTGATCTCTGAAGGAGAGGAAGCTACCAGGTTGGTGAAAATAGTAGGGAACTTTGAGAAGAGCAAATAGCTTTGTAAATAGCATTGGAATCTGCTTATCATTAAGTTTTCTTTTAGTGAATGTCTCACAGTGAAAAAGGAAATTGCAAAATGTGGTCCTTGTGGCTATATGGTTAAAATCCAAATACTTGTTTTAGGATGCTGAGCTGTCCTATTGAAGAAGTTTTGAATAATGGGTAAAAGAATGAAAATGAGGGAAGGAAGCATACTTAGAATCAGCTAAAAGTGAATGTACAAATGTTATAGCAGTAAAAAGCAAGAGTTTCAGCAGAGCCATGCCTAGTCACATGGTTGGTTTGGATATTGGGACTTGTACCTAACAGTTCTAAGACCCAAGATAATCTTTATATAAGGATCACACACTACTTTTTTTCTCACTTGAGGCCCAGGTACTTTTTTTAATCAAGCAAAGACACCATTTCCAAAAATCTCAAAAATTACATTCTGGATACTCTCTTCAATCAGCCTTAAGAAGCATTGGCTTTGGGGTCATTGAACCTAGTCCCTGTTACCCATCTCAGCTCGGCTTGGAGTTGTTTTGTTTAGATTGAGGAGGAAGAGTGACTGTAAACTTGACTCATTATTATTCTACTATATTGATATTTCTACTCTCGTTTATAGGCATATATCTCCAGGGAAAATGCTGTACTCTAATGAACATCTTTAATAGAATTTTTATAACATCCTCCTGATATAGAAACATAGCATGACAGGAAGTTAGGACCCTACTCCCTGATTGAATCAAGGGATATTTTTTTGACACAAGATTCAAGCAAAAGTGATTCTGGAATATTTAGAAGCCAGTCAACTGTCCCAAATTCTCTGAAGCTTTACAAATATTATTTTTTATTCCTACAGCTCCTGATCTACCATTTGTTCAAAATTTTGTCTCTTGAGCTTGTAAAATATAAATGCACTATGGATCTAGAGTAGTCCAAAGCAAAATGGCATGCAGACCATTGGTGCTCCCAGAACATTTGTCAAGGGGAGGGAATGGGCAAGCCATGCTAAGCCATCTGGACAGCCCTAGGTAGAATCTCCAATATAAAAGATGAGGTAACCCATCTGTTCTGTCTTGTTATGTCAATTGGAGGCAAAGTAATTATGGAATAAGACTAGGATGGAAACAGGGGTCCCAATCTTAACCACAGGAGCTCAATGAGTGTCTTAAGGGCAGTCACTTTCTTAATGCACCTTTCTTAGAGGATTTAAGAATGTGATCTCCCTCAATTCCCAAATACAAGTAGTCCTCAACTTACAACAGTTCATTTAGTGACTGTTCAAAGTTACAATGGCACATAAAAAAGTGGCTTATGACAGTTTTCACACTTACGACTATTGCAACATCCCTATGATCATGTGATAAAAATTCAGATGCTTGGCAACTGACTCTTATTTATGACAACTGCAGTGTCCCAGTGTCTTGGGATCACCTTTTGCAACCTTCTGACAAGCAAAGCCAATGGGGAAGCCAGATTCACTTAACAACCATGTCACTAACAACTGCGGCGATTCACTTAACAATTGTGGCAAGAAAGAACATAAAATGGGGCAAAACTCACTTTAACTGTCTTGCTTAGCAACAGAAATTTTGGGCTCAATTATGATTATAAGTCGAGGACTATCTGTATGTGCTATTTTAATATGCAAGAGGAATGGTGGGATATAGCTATAGTAATAAAATTGCTTGAATCTTGGCTGCCAGGGTGCAGCAGAATTTATCAGTTTGCTTCCCTTTTCTGGGGTGATGAAACACAGAAATTTGTCCTACTCCAGTGATGGCAAACCTTTTAGAAACCAAATGCCCAAACTGCAAATGCCAAAACCCACTTATGCATCGTCTGGTGCCAGGTGGGCATGGCCCATTGAGTGGGCATGGCTGTGGTGATAACAGCAGATTGGATGGGACTAAAAAGTTCAATCAATCAATTCCAACTTGCAAGATCTTTTTTTTCCTGCGAGAAGTTGAAATTGACTGATTGATTGAACCTTTTTTTTTTTTTTTGTACATGGCGGCAGAGGCCTAAAGCGAAAAGGTTTTATAAAACCCAGCTGAAGGCCTAAGACTGGGGTGATGGCACGTGTGCCCACAGAGAGGGCTCTGAGTGCCGCCTCTGGCACCCGTGCCATAGGTTCGCCACCACTGCCCTACTCTATAACAGATGATCATACAAGTCTCTTGTAAAGAGCTTATCTAACTCTTCTGATGAAACAGAGCATAAACATCTCTGTTTTTATCAGAACATATTGGTAGAATGCTGAATACAGGCTCAATTCTTCATTTCTCTACACTGCTATACTCCACCTTGGTTCAAAAAAGTCTTGAATTCCAGAGATACTTGTTTTCTTCTTCTTCCAGTTTTATTGATGTCACGGTTTTAGCAGCAACTTCAAGTTCCAAACTATTGTGAAGAGAGATCACCTTCCGCCCCCCTCTCCCATTAATGCCAGAAATCTTATAGCCAAGCAATTGGGAGAGTATATGGCTTTTCCAAAAAAAGGGTGACAGAAGTTTAGGAAGCAGGGCTAATTCTCCTGTTTTATCCCTCCCCCCTCCCTTTATTTCACACAGTTAGAACAAAAAAACAACCATAAACAGGACTGAGCTTCAGAGACCAAGACAAAATGACAAATGGATGCACCTTAGGAGGAGAACAAGAAAAAGAAAGACATTCCAAATCTAAAAACAAATGGGGTGGGGCTACATAAGGAAATAACACAGTAGAGACTTGAGTGGCGAGAATCAGGACATCTTGATTCTCTGACCAAGCGGCTATCCTAGCTTAAATCAGGAAAGCACTCATTCAAACTGAGTGGAGGGTGATCATGCAAAGCTAGAAGCAGCAAACGTAATGAGACTTAGGAGTCACACTATTATCTCACCCCCAAACATTTACACATACATATGAAAGAGTCCAGAATTGGCTGTTGACAAATCTAATTCTAGGTTAGAAAGTAGGCCTTAATTTAGTCCATTATGGAGCCACTTTGAAGTCACAAGCCTGATGTTAATCTGTAGGAAGATAATTCCATGGTGGTTCTTGATGCAGGAGGCCTAACAGGGCAAATTGGCAGGGATGTCCACAGGGAGTCCTCCTGGCTCACTTACAGAGTTGTCTATCAAGGATGAGTGACGAGGAAAGAAAGGCATTTTTCTTCTCCCTCCCTCCTATTCTTGGGCTGGAGGTTCATGAAGACTGAGGTAATGGGTCCTGCATGCTTTCTGGTACTATGCAGAAACTCTGCCCCCACCCCATCAGACCAAGCACCCACAAAGACATTCCTCATGCCTTCAAAAGATCTGTTGTGAAAAGAAAACAAGAAAGAGAGTAAGGGTTAACAGTCATCTGGCTCTAAAGTCACAGCCGTGAGAAGATTTGAAGCCAATACACAGGATAGGGTATAGAAAGAAGAATGGTTGCCTGCCATGACTGTCCCCTATTATGCCTCCTGAATAAGACTGTAAGTTTAACAATCTGAAGAATTCTACTAAGTAGCTCCATGGGGAAGGGGAACCTCTGGATTTTCTGCCCAATGTGCAATTTTGAAAAACAAAGAATAGGTAACATTTCTAGTTTACCATCTTGACTCTTTCCATAACAAAGACTCCAATAGCATGCATGTTAAAAAAAAGATCCCACCCCCCATTTATATAAGCTAGGAGGGGGATCTTTTCTTTTTTTTTTACTCTAGATAAAATATATCCCTCCCACAAGAAAAATGCTCCTTGGTGACTGCCCCTATGGCTTTTGAAAAGAAAAATGCATCAGGCAGCAAACTTTCTGGGGAAGATGGGGATTGAGGGAAGCAGGAACTTGCAGTCCTTCCCTCAGATGATCTCCTATTGGCACTTCCTCTCAGATGGATCTGAGGAAACGTTAACACTCCAGAAAGTTCTGAGAGCACATTGCTGGAACCCTGAAAGAAAAGAATGAAGGCCATCTATCACTTCCTCTTTCAAAACCAGTTTTTATATTACTAAAAATTCCTGACTTTGTCCAAAACTGAGTTGGGGGATTAATCCTGGAACTGTCACAAGAATTCAGCATATCTCTAACCCAGAGTTTAGGCCTGGAATTGCTTTGTTGCTCACACTACTTCTAGAATCTCAAGATAAGGTTCAAAATAACTCAGCCAGATATCATGCAGCCACATAACTCTAAAGCACATAAAGTATGGAGTTGTGGAATTTGTTTTGGGACTAGAAATGAAAAGTTTGCATATTCACTGCCTAGTTTATTCGCAGTCTAGCATATTTGCAGTCTAGTTTAGACAAGGGAAAAAATGTTGCATTTCTTTGGCTAATAATGCCAATCTCATTTGAATAGTAGCCACCAGTTATGTTACTCCATTGCATTTCTATTGTTATATTTTTAAAAAATGTTTGAATATTGGTCTAGAATAACTCCATTTAGCTACTAAATGAGGCTTGCTGAATTGATTTGGTTGGGTGACATCAATGCTTTAACAGAGTACCACTAAGTGACAGTTTATTTCCAGATGCAATTCAAATTATGGTACTTATCTATAAATGGGTCGGACCCAAAATATCTTAGGAACATCTCCTCCCATTAGTAGGACTCAAGCACACTGATTAATTTTGGACGCCCTTCTTTGTGTTTTAAGTTGATGACTATAAGTAGAGAGTAAAGAGGATGACCCTGATGGGGAAAGAGAAGATCCATTACCAAAGCAATAAAGAGGGAAACATTACTTGAGTCCAGACGATGGTGGGGGGAGGGTGATTATGAATATGTCTCAGACAGACACTCCCCGAATTCACATGAATATAAAAGAGGGAAGCGGGAAAGCACAATCAGACCTGTAAGATATTATTATAGCCAATCTAAAAGTATTTTTTGTGGAATTTATTATTTGGTCTGCACTGCCTTATCGGTCTGCAATAAGGGATCCAATACAATGATCCAATACTCACTGGCCAAGTGTCCCCTAAATAAGGTCATATCCAGGAAGCCCCACGTAGTATCTACTTTATGAACTGTCTGGCATTAATCCTATAAAAGAGTGATATAGTAGCTGAGGCACAGATTGAGAAGCGTAGGTATCTCTGATTTGCTACAGCTTCTATGGAAAATAAGAAAGTATATGTCATTTCTCACCCCACTTCTATCTCCCTAAGACACTTACAGTCCCTGGTGGCAAAGGGCTGCTGGTGGTTGCTTTAGTCTGAATGAACACTTTCTACTATGATGCTAGGTTTATCTTGAGCTGGAGGATTCTTGTTGATATAGCTGTTCAAAGTCTTCTCCTGAAAAATCAGAGGCACCAAAGAGAAGAAAAAAAATCAGAGGGACAAGTGTGATGTTTTCAGACTCTCCAGCCTCTGCCACAGCACCCTGAGCTATGGACTCGGGTTTGAAGAGATGGTCCAACCTTGGGCCCCATCCAGTGGTGGGATTCAAATATGTGAACAACTGGTTCTCTGGGTGGATGCCGCTTCCGGAAGTCCATTCTGGGCCTGGGCAATACAAAATTAGCTACCGGTTTTGCCGAAGTGGTGCAAACTGGCTGAATCCCACCACTAGCCCCATCCCTCTCAAACTGTGTCTTCCCCAAAAAGATCCAGAAATCCCAACTCCAAATTCTGTCCCAGCTTATGACATTATACAATCCTGACAGTTTTCTTAAGCTTTTAGCCCCTTGTTTCTCAGTTATTCCAGAATGTCATTCCATTGTATCAACAAATCTTCCAGCATTCTTCAGGGACCATGCTTTGTATTCAGGATACACTACTAAGTTCTTGGAAGGGTACTGTACCGCTGCAGTACTAGAATATATAAGAGACGCAACACTTTCAGCCAACAGTCTAGGGCTACATCATTACCATAAAAGCTGAGTGAGAAACAAGTCATAAAAGGAATACACATGTAATTTATTGTATTCTTATTTATAGGAATGGACAGCTTTTATTGTTTTAAGGGCCACATTTGTTTGGAAGGCCCTAAATGACAATGATGGGTGGAAATTAAGCAAGATGTGGGTGGCGTAGTGTCATAATTAAGGAGAGAGAAGCATGTTTTTCCTTCTCTCCTACAACTTCATAAGCTTCTCCATTTTTTTTTTCTTTGTCTCTCTATTCCAGTGTTTCTCAACTTTGGCAACTTTAAAATGACTGGCTGGGGAATTCTGGGAGTTAAAGTCCACAAATCTTCAAGTTGTCAAGGTTGAGAAACACTGCTCTATCCTGTGCCCAGGCAGCAGGTTAGAATAGCTTTGTGCTTAACAGAGAAGTGTCAGAATGACTAGTTTATTGCCCCTGTTTCTTACTGATCTGGCATTTTAGTTTAGTTTTTAGTTTCTAGTGAAGCAATGGGTTGGACACAGATTAGATCTGGTTTTCTCACAGTATCACACTCACCTCTACTAGCTGGTGCCAATGTTCAATGGGCTTACGTGGATTTGCCAGCATCTCAGCCCAATGATCTCTCCCAGGTGCATCAGCATCATTGCCCACTCGACACATGCCAATGACTTCATTATGCCCAATGCTGTGGAAGAGATTAGTTCAGAGCCAGCCTTTCAGAGGTGGAGGAAAATGTCAACCTCAGTTATGTGATTTGAATAAAAAAACTAAAGACTCCCTTAAGTTGAGTTCATTGCCTATGTCATGATCCAATTTTTTAAACTGCCTTATTCTAGATTTCTTTTAAAAAAAATTCTAGTCTAGCATATAGCCCTAGGTTTTCTGCAGATCTCCCATTCAAATATTAATCAGATCTGATTAGTTTTTTGGTATCAGCCAAAGGCATGACAGGTGCACAACTGTGATCATTTGTATGCTTTACTTAAAACTGCTGTATTTGGGACCCAGAGACAAACAGATCAGTGAAATATTAAGTCCCCCCCCTCCCCAAAGTTTTGAGGCTTATTATGTCATAGGTGGTACCTTGCTCAATAGTAGTAACTGTGAGAGGGATCTCGGAGTCCTAGTGGACAATCACTTAAATATGAGCCAGCAGTGTGCTGCAGCTGCCAAAAAAGCCAACACAGTGCTAGGCTTCATTAACAGAGGGATAGAATCAAGATCACAGGAAGTATTAATACCACTTTACAATGCCTTGGTAAGGCCACACTTGGAATACTGCATCCAGTTTTGGTCACCACGATGTAAAAAAGATGTTGAGACTCTAGAAAGAGTACAGAGAAGAGCAACAAAGATGATTAGGGGACTGGAGGCTAAAACATATAAGGAACGGTTGCTGGAATTGGGTATGTCTAGTTTAATGAAGAGAAGGGCAAGGGGTGACATGATAGCAGTGTTCTAATATCTCAGGGGCTGCCACAAAGAAGATGGAGTCAAGCTATTCTCCAAAACACCTGAAGGCAGGACAAGAAGCAACAGATGGAAACTAACCAAAGAGAGAAGCAACCTATAACTAAGGAGAAATTTCCTGACAGTTAGAACAATTAATCAGTGGAACAACCTGCCTCCAGAAGCTGTGGATGCTCCAACATTGGAAGTTTTTAAGAAGAGACTGGACAGCCATTTGTCTGAAATGGTATAGGGTTTCTTGCCTGAGCAGGGGGTTGGACTAGATGACCTCCAAGATCCCTTCCAACTTTGTTGTTGTTGTTGTTGTTATACTCCATTTATGCATCTGCTTCTTTTCATATATATTGGATCACAAGCTCCCACCTGCCAGTATAGGGAGGACTGACTATGTTGCATTTATTCATAAAAACAGCCAGACAATAGCTCATTTCTTTGCCACCTTCCAGAGGTGGGAATATAAATTCCCAGAATTTCCAGGCCAGCATAATATGACAATGAGGTCATGTCAAGGGTTCAAAGCCGTATAACTGAAGGATGCCCAGATTGGGCAAGGATGGTAATCCATGATTGCACTCAGTGCATAACTCTCTATTTGTCAGAGAATGGGAAGCAATCTTGGCTGTAAGTTCCTCCCACTGTTTTATTTTTCTCTTAACTCAGCTCTTGGTTCTCAACTCATCATCTTCATTAGAAAAAGCAAAATGAACTCCTTCTCTAACAAGTTGCAATATAATTCCAGAAGACTTTTTTGCACTACTCTTCACTAATCCATGAACTAGCAACACAGCATCCGACTTACAAGATGTACCAAATCAAATAACCTGAATGCCCTGATATTTCAATGTGATTTTGTGTGTTGTCACAAGGCCTTAATGATCTGGGTGGGTGGGCAAATTCAAGTCATTCTATGAAATTGTACAACAGCATCCACAGCTGCCAAGAGCTGCCAATATCCCTCCTCAAGACAGCCTAATCTGTGTCTCCCTCTTTCATATAGTGCCCAAAATTCTGCAGTGAATTTGCTGAGTGCTGAGCCATCACTGGCTGAAATGACTTCTCCTCAAAGGGAACAGGAAGTCTAAATGCCCAGCCAGCACAAGCCCTTTAAATCATGCCTCTTCTGTTTAACTCACCAGAATTTGGGTGGATATGATATATCTTACCAATCATAATCCATGACTGCCAAGGTAATGCTGACATGCTCCATGCTGTCCTGGGGAATGTCAAAGACAAGAGCCTCATTGTAACTGGGGTTCAAAGTGTTTTTCTTGATGGAAGTCTTACGCTTCTTCAAGCGCCTCCCTTCACACATGAGGGATGCTTTAACATAGGGATCTGAAAAGATGCGGGCAAAAGATAGAGAAAGATGGTCCAGGATTAGAGGGAAAGCAGCCAAGTCAAATTTATATCAAATGCCATCACTTGTGGTCTCTCTGCCCCACCCCATTTCTGATCACTGTAATTTTAATTCCTTTGAGTACAAAGAGTTTAGACTACCTCATTGATCTCTGACAGGAATCTTTTCTAATACCATCTGAATGAGGTTTTCATGGTTGTGGGAACTGTCTGCGAGTGCTTAGTGAGGACAAATGCTGTCCACTATAAAATATCATAAGGTCCAAAACCATATGCAGGAGAATGGCATGGCAGAACTTGCAAGGAGGAGAATCACAATTCAATATTCCTTTATGATACAATTTCCACAAGCAGAAAAGTAGCATTATAGGGAATAGGCTGGGCTATATATTATCTTTTTTCCTACTGACCTACTATTTCACAAACTTTCCATGTAATCAGAAAAATATCAGGTAGCAAAATGTTTGAGGCTGGCCCTGCTCCCACAATAGACCTGTCATATAAAGCAGCCATTTTCTTTGGCAGAAGGTATATCATAGATACAAGTTGGGATGTGCCCACCAAACCTAATTGCAGATTATATAGGGAGTTTACCACTGTAGAACAGAATCTGCCCTTCAGTTTTCCACTACCAACATTCATAAAGGGGGGCTTGCTTTGAGAAATTCCCACTCTCTCCTGGTTAGTTGTAACTGCAAGTCCTTCCTGTTTTCCCTCCATAGAGGATTGAGCTCTGATTATCATCATAAGCACCAAGGATCAATTTATCAAAACTGACTTGGCATTTTCTGTTAAGATGCATCCTCTGTATCACTAGCATGACAACTGTCATTGAGATGTATATCCCTAACTAGAGGCAGTAGAAGAATTCATTCCATCTGAATGTTTATGCAAACTGATTGAGTTCATCTCTCCCAAACGTACAAGCAAACCAAAAATAAACCACAGCTCCCACAGAATGCAGATTACAATTTTTAAAAAATGTGCAAAGGGCACAGTTTAAGGAACAATGTGCACAGATAAAGCATATGTTATGAAAAGTCTATCATAAAAAAGACTATATGAAAAAAACATTCAAGGAAAAGCACATATAAGAAACTATTTATTAGAAGAAATAGACAACAACATTTACAAACTGCTGGGAAAACAGGCCAAACATAGTTAATATGGTGAAAAAAGAGATGCTGAATAAAACAAAAATTGACAGATTTGCTCATTTGAAGCTGAACTGTGTCCTTGTAATAGCAATGAAGCATAATAGGACCCATCTTACACTCATCTTGCTTCCTCCTCGGTAACCCCCTTTGCTGCTTTCTCTGCCCTAATTTTAAATGCTGCCTCCTTTCCTGATAGCAGGGATAAGGAGCCTGATGCTCCCTAGAAGTCTCGAATTTTAGCTTTCAAACAGCATGGCAAGAATTAAGGTTTAGGAGATACATCCCAAAGATCTGCAGGGTACTAGATTGCCAATCCCCCAAGGCATTGCTCTTACTTCTGATGACCTCAAATTCTTACCTTCATTTGAATCCCCTCTTTGTTAAAGCCTACACAGGTTTCTGTGAAATCAAAACACACCAAGAAGCTCTGCCGTTCATTTTCTGCTGCCATCCCATCTCCAAATTTATTAAGAACAGGATTCCAATTTACCAAAACCTTGAAATAAACTAACCAGACCTAACTGCAAAAAATGACTTCAGGTGTACCCTTAGAAGCATACTCCATTCATGAATTTGTTTTAGCAAGAGAACAGAGGCCCAAAGACATGTCATATAAAATGTGATTTTGCTTTTAACATAGTTCAAAGCAGGGAAAGTCAGACAGACTGTAATAGAGGTAAGAAAAAATTAAACTCTACCTCCCTGGCTGTGAGATTCCTCTCTTAAGGCTCCCGCTCAGAAACGCTGTCTGCATTTTTCAAAACCAAGAACATTAAATCTAAAAAACTGTTTCATTGCACAAATTCTTACACATAATATCCCATAGTGGATTCTTCCATTTCCCCAAAAGTTCCTTTTTAGCACAGACTGACGTAGGATAGAAAAAAAGGGGGAAGAGCAGGGAGAAGTCAATTTCTATATTTTTTTACTACTTTTAAAATAACCGGAGTCAGAATGTTTAATTAATCTATAGCAAACCATAGACATATATTAGTACATTCTAATTTTTCTTCTGTCTTCTCCTATCTATCCTGACAATCTGACTGCCTAACTGACAATCCTCTGACACTTCACTTCTGATATTCAGCTTTCTTTCCTCATTTTACTGTCCTTTTCCCCCTGGGTAACCACCCTCTGAGTCAAAGCTATTGCTCTACTGCCAATGGCCTAGCTGTTTTGCTTCAGGAACTGCTGGTCATAACCCAAACTTTGTCACATATGCTCACCAGAAAATCCAGTCAGGTCCATGGCTTTGAGGTTGGTAGCCTTGATAATGGTAACTGTGAGACGACCCGCGGTGGGGAGGTAACAGAGGGAAAAATTCAACTCCCCAAGGTCTGCTTTTTCCTATGAGAAGATGAGAAAAGAAACGGAATGGTTTCAGGTCCTTAGTTTAAAAAAGAAAACCTTCACTGAAAGTATTGAATTAGAGGTTGGATAGCTTTCTGCCAGCTGTACCTGGACCACATCTTGCATTGCAGATCTCATATCGGGAAGACGGCTGAAACAAATGCCCACTTCATTCATGCAGACACACATATAGAAAAGTCTTAGAAAAGATACTACTGATTTGCTGTATTCTGGCAAGCATTCAATATATTGTATTATTTTCAATTTTGATAGCAGCTAAATCAGGTATGAGATTAGAGTAGGTGTAATGGGCTGTGAGAATAACCTTGAAGAAGAGGAGAAAAAGCCACAGCCAAAGCAATAGTCAGGTAAGAGAAATCTCATCCCAAATCAGGAATTGAATTTGAGAAAGCAATGACCCCCAATGACTCTACCTAGTTCTCTTTAGAATAAAGGCAGAGACGATGGGGAAAAACTTTCAGAGTTGCAAGATTGATGTCAGTCCTTCAAGGTAGATCAAACCTGAGCACAAAGTAATGAACATTAAAACTACTTTTATTATAGGGTTACAGTAACAGAATCTTACAACCTTGAATGTTCTCCCTCCTCCTTATCTTTATTCTTGTCAGTCCCACAATGTAGACCAAATCAAGAAATAGGAAAGCTATCAACACTGGCTATAATAACAGAATCTTGCACATTTGATTGTGCTTTCCTCCCCACTCCTATTATATCCAAGTGAATTAGGAGGGTGCCTGCCTGAGCAGCATATGTATTCCTTCTCCCTGTTTAAGCCATGTTTTCCCTTGTTTGGTAACAGATCTGGCCTCTCTCTTCAAAGTCATATTCCTTTCTCTTTACATATTTCTCAGTATTTTGGATATATCTTTTGTAACCCCTTTACATCAGAAATCCTTGCTCAAATTTTAGTCCAAAACATCTGGCCAGCACTCTCTATTTTGAGATCTGTGACGAGTTCTACTAGGCACTTCTGCAATGCTCCTAGAAAAGAGCATTTTTGGCTGGCAACCTGATTTAAGAACATTTTTTTTTCCTACCAAAATATTCTCAGGAACTATTCTCAGCACTCGCTTCATTTGGATCATCAGTTAGAACCCTTTTTTTTAAAAGCAGGGGTCTCCAAACTTGGCAACTTTAAAACTTGTGGACTTCAACTCCCAGAATTCCTTGGCCAGCCATGTTGGCTGGGAAATTCTGCGAGTTGAAGTCCACAAGTCTTAAAGTTGCCAAGGTTGGAGATCCCTGTTTTAAAGGACAATCAGTGACATTTATATAATTGGCAAAATAGCTGATTGCCATAGAAATGGTCTTCTATACTGTTGGACTATAATGCCTGTCCTTGATAAATATTCCCTCCTGGGTGAAATTTATAGGAATCTAAAAATATCTGGGAACCACAAGTTCTATTTCTAACCCTACTGTAATATGCTGATTCTCCATATTTTAAAACTCTGAGAAAAAAAGTGTCAGACTCAACCATTCAGGGATCTGAATGCTTAAAATAATTTTGTTTCCCTTTCAAAATCTGTGCAGCTTTATATAACTAAAACAACAACAACAACCAAACAACAACCAAACAACTTTTAGACAAACATGCCATAGAAAATAAACATGAACAAAAACAAAGCAATTCCCTCATTAAATGGTAAGAAATATTGTTACTGATAAGAAATGCTTATTACACATTCAGTTTCTTCACACAACTATTTCCTCATATTCCCATCACACAAACACTTAAATACATACACACCAACATATCTTTTCAATGGAAAATATTAAGGCCATCTGTCACAAGTGGGAAGTCAAAATATTTAAGAGGGAGAATCTGTGTACAGGTTGTCTAAAGGCTGTAAACTACCACAATTGGGGGCCCAAATTTCCATTGCTTAGCACAATAGTTGTTAAGTGAGTTTTGTCCCATTTTACAACCTTTCAATCTTGTCACAGTTGTTAAATGAATCACTGCAACTGTTTAGTAACACGATTGTTAAATGAATCTGGCTTCCCCATTGACTTTGTTTGTCAGAAGTCACAAAAGGCAGTCATATGAACCCAAAACACTACAAGCGTCATAAATATGAACCAGCTGCCAAACATCTGAATGTGACCATGAAGATACTGTAATGGTTGTAAGTGTGAAAAACAGTCATAAATCACTTTTTTCAGTACTGTTGTAACTTTGAATGGTCATTAAATTAAAGGCTATAAGTCGAGGACTACTTATACCCATTTTTTTTAAAAAAGTCTAATACAAAGGATTGACTACCCTGTCAAGGAATTTTCTCCATCTTTCATATAGATGCAGTCCTTATTATTGACCACAATTGGAATCGGTAATTCCATTGCACAGTCACTAAGCAAAAAACAAACAAACAAGTGACTGCCTCAGACTAATATTACTTCTGCCTCTGTCATTAACTGAATCAATGTGGTTGTTAAGCAGGACATCATGTGACTGTGACTTGCATTTCATTCCCACATTCTCCATTAATTCTACTTGTTGATAGTTGGCTATGAAACTTGAAAAAGGTGACCGTATAGCTGCAGGACACTGTGATGGTTGTAAATGCAAGGATTAGTTTGCAAAGTTGCTTTTTTTCAATGTTTGTAACTTTGAACAACTGCTAAACAAGACAGGACCACCTGTCTCACACTTGGTGAGTATGAACATCGCAAAATAATTATGATTTTTCAAAGTTGGAGTTTCATAGCCAAAGTTGCTATTTGTATTAATAGGAAGAAAAGCATTTTAATCATTATCAAGACTGGGGAAATAACAACTACATATAAAAATTGATAAAATAAAAGTTAGATTACCAATACACAGGTTTGCCTACGAATTTGGGCTGCTAGAGAAGTTACCTTAGTAAGGTTCATGTATGATGAATAGTGCCTTATAATCCGCAAACCGCAAACCAAATTAAAAAAAGAAGATCTGAACATTTGGCCCTGTCCTTTTCAATGATATCTCAATGCCAACAGGCACAACTCCTGAGGCCTCTAGGCAGCTCAGAAAGATGACTTGTAACCTAGGCTAACATGGATTAACTATCAGTGCTATATCTGATCTATAGACATGTCTTGATTTTAGGGAGCACATTGTGGGCACTTAACCAAATGACTTCCTAGTTAGTAGGTGTAGTGAGTCTCAAAACAGTTTCTCTTTCCTTGATGTAATTCCTTGCTGTAATTTTAATAAAATAAATTTTAAATGATCACTATCTGTCTATCTCAGTGGTTCTCAACCTTTTTAATGCTGCGACCCCCAACCGGTCGTAAGTCGAGTACTCAACCGGTCGTAAGTCGAGGACTACTCAACTGGTGCAGCACCGTTTGCAGAATGGGACTTTTGGCGGGCTCAGCAGGGCAGAGACAGCCTGGACAATTCCTATTGGCTTTTGAAAGCCAATAGAATTAGACTCTATTCAAGAGAGTCTATTCTATTGGCTTTCAAAAGCCAATAGAATAAAAGGGAGTAGCACAGCTAAGGAAAAGGGGGAAAAAAATGGCGGACTGCGTTGTTTGGCGACCCCCGTGAAATGGTCGTTCGACCCCAAATGGGGTCCTGACCCACAGGTTGAGAACCACTGGTCTATCTTGTTTAGCTGCAGCTACATGAAGATTATCTTTCTAGGATTTCAGAGACGAATGTGCATTAGAGCCTGAGGAAGAAAGAGCAGCACATTGTGCTATGCAAAGCACATTGACTTAACTAGATCCATGTTCCTTGTTCTGAAATATTAACAGGTACACAACTTTCCTCCACAACATCTAATTCTAATGAGCAGCGCAGGTTTAGTTGGGAAAGCCCCCAATGAGGAATATAGGAAGGTGCCTTATGGTAAATCAGGCCATTGATCCACCGAACTCAGGTCTGTTGACACCAGACACCATAAGATGCCCTTTGCTTACTCTGAAACATCCTTGGCAGGGGAACAATCCAGGCCTCTAATAAGTGCTGCTGTTTCTTTCCTGCTAGCCTCCAAAGCAAACTTCTTGAGAGAAAGGATAGTGTGTGAATGTGTATGTAAGAGAGAGGGAGGAAACTGGGGTTTGACCCTTCTGGTAGATGCTCCAGGCAATAATTGGCAACAGATTACACCTGAAAGAACCTTGCATTTGGAAAATAGAAAGGCTGCAGAGTGAAGGGGTGAAACTGGAGACAATTTTTCAATGAGTCAGATTTTCAATGTCTTCATCCAAGGCTTTGATCTTTCTCCCAAACTGGATACAGCCTGACCCTAACTAAGTGTTCTCCAGATGTTTTGATTTCAACTTCCATTTTAGGTAAGAGTTCTGAGGACCAAAGAATTCAAAGCATATGGCAGATTCTTGATTGGAGAAGATCCACCTTGTTTCTTGTGCTCTCCCATTAAGCATGGCAACCTGGGTCCACTTATATAGCCGATCTGCAGATAACTTAATAAATAATACAGAGGGAATCGTTATCTTTTTAAAATATTGATACATTGCCTTTCAGATCAAATCCTTCCCAAGGTGGGTTTCTTTAGAATAATGAACATATAGAACATCAGGAAGAAAAAAAATCAATACCACCACAACCCAAAACAAAAAATGGTTAAACTTTGAAAGAAAACTACATAATGTTTAAGCATCTTCCTGGCCCCTGGAGGAAGAAGATAAGGAGGAAAAAGGTTGTTTGGGTGCATGGAGAGAGGAGAGAGGAAAAAATATTTGAAATTAGAGGTGGTACAGCCCACTTCAATGAAGAAAACCACAATGGTATGAGTGACAGCACAGTGACAGTACAGATTTTTTAAAAGGTCATCTTAATCAAAACTATAATTTGCATAGAAGGAAAGTATTATACCACAGTGCTCGATGCTGCATGCTACATGCAATTCACCACCAGCAGTCAGAAATTAAACTACTCCCCATGTGAACATCAAGATGTACCTGTGGCATTCCTTCTTCTGGTATTGGTATTAAAGACACAGTAGCTTTGACACAAAAGA